AGAGAGAGAGAGAACAGGGCAAAGGAGGGTGAAAGGAAGGAAGGACGGTCGCGCCCGCCGCGACGCTGCGGGATGTTAAGTACGTCTCGTAAAAATTCCATCCCGTAGCGACGTCATTTTGCCGTGCTGGCTACGTTAGGCTACGTAGGCGGGACTTAATCTCGCTCGGCCCCCGGATCCGCCAAGGGGGCGCGTTCTTACCGCGGAGGTGGTACCCGGTGCCGTGGCAGCGGCTTCGAAGCGTGCGGCTGGATTCGAACGGCTTCACCGTCTTTCTACGCGTGCGCCGTGCCGGCCGTGAGGAAAGCGCCTGCCCAACATCGGCGCCGGGGGATCCCCGTCCACCGTACCATTTCGCGTCACCGGCTTCGACTGGCCTGAGAGAGGAGGCACACCCGGCTGCCTCCTTAGCACCGAAACTCGTTAAACGTCGACGTATTGACGTTTCGCGCGCGTATCTTCGTCGCAGCGGGTATCTCGACGACGCACGACGCGCGTCTCTCTCTCTCTCTCTCTGTGTGTGTGCTGGTGTTCAGTGAGGATAGCGAAGGGAAGAGGACTGACACATCCGGTCGAATTCCCTGACTGACAGAAACAGGTTGTCGTGGACATTCGAAAATGTCGGTATTACTTCGACAACTCGGTCGCTATGAAACCCTGGTATCATATTTTGGTGTATAATTTTGAGCGGACAATAGTGGCAGTGTGCTAGAGTAAAAGAGGGACACGCGAGTCGATGGAATGACAATTGACGTCTCCCGTCCGTGGAGCTGACGGAAGCTATCGAGTTCGGAAGGAAGGTCTCGACGAGAGAAATAGGGGACGATTTCGAAAACCAATGATGTGACTCGTGTGTCGGTTTAAGCACGATGACGGAGAATGCGAGTGCGTTGACAGGTCATCGATAACGATTAGTGCGACTGATTTCATGATTGCGGCTCGAACCGGTGACTCTTCGCGGGGACTCCGGACATGTTAGGCCAGTGAATGAGACTCGATAAACCGTACGGTAAATCCGCAAACAGTTTTCATACAATGCAAATGTGTTATCGTGTCGAGGAGATGCGCGGTGCTTGAAGAATCAAGCTGTCGTGGCCTCGACTGGTTGCCAAAAGTCACCAGGCGAGTGTCTCGAGCGATTGCGCTTTTTAGTTTAGCTCCTTCCCATATCCGGCGCGCGGCATGTGCACCACGGAGATGACGGAGTCGTATACGATGTCGCCGTCGACGACGGTATCTTCCAGTGCCGCGACGCCCGGGAGTGGCTCGTCAGCGCACCGACGGACGTCGTGCAGAGGCTCGCCGGGTCGAGGGGACGTTCAGGACGACGAGGACGAGATCTCCGTAGGTTGTCCCAGTCCGCTGCCACTGGTGGTCGTGACGCCCAACACGGAGGACGAATTGGCATCCTCGAGGGAAGAGTACGCCGACCGTCTAAGCCCCAGAAGGACCTATCCACGAGATTCGATGACGGAGGACGAGGAGAGAGATTACTCCCGAAACGGGGAATACAGAATGTCGAACGGAAGAACCAGTAGCAGGACTCGCGAGAGCGGCGACTCGGTCACGACTCTCAGGGATGACGAGGAGGACGAGGAGGAAGAAGACGATGTGGACAGCAGGACCGGTAGCAACGGTGCGGCAACCGCTGGCACTACGGACGATTATTTCAAGCCGTTGAAACGTCTGAAGATGGTGCAGGTGCAACACTCGGACGAGGAGGACGAGAGGGAACGAGAGTCCAATGATCGCGGAGTCAAGTCTTTTAGTATCCTCGACATTCTGTCGCATCGGCCAAAGGCGAAGATCGTTCGTCCCTGGGACACGGCGGATTCCGGTCTTGGCCATCAGCACCGTCATCACTTGCAGCAGCAGCAGCAGCAGCAGCATCATCATCATCATCATCATCATCAGCACCATCTGCACCACCATCATCACCACAGTCATCCGGGTCACGCGACTGGGCCCCGGGACCTCTCGCTGATGGGTATGTCACTCGCATCTATGTCCGGCTCCATCAGCGAGCCGCCCCTTAGCAGTTCCTCATCGTCCGGAAGGAGCTCCGTGTCGGATTCCGGTAGCCCGGACCCGCTCGCCCATCATCACCATCATCATGCCGCGCTCCATCACGCGGGCATTCATCCCGGCCTGCATCACCCGGCGCTCCAGCAGCCCCAGCAGCAGCAGCTGAAGAGGAAAATGCCCCAGCAGCAACATGGCTCGCACGCTGGCCAAAACGGCAAGAGGACCACAGGGCAAGGCAGTCCCTTGGATGCGCTTTTCCAAATGACCAGCAAGACCTTCGATGCGGGCGAGCACAGTCAGGGTAAGCACTCGCACAGATTTTCACGTTTCCTTAGGCCCGTTTACCTATTGGCGTTTAAGCGAAGTACATGTATATATAGGACAAACACATATTTAAATCTCGCTGAAAGTGTCGCTTAAAATAATGTCGAGGCAATCGGGCCTTAGACTTCAGATTTGTTTATGGTCGCATGTACAACATGTTTTTTGGAGACATTTTCGGTAAATTATAGAGGAGCGAGATATCGGAAGGAATATATAGCTCGTCAAGCTGATTTTTGAGATATAAAACAATGTAAACAAATCGACAAAATTTTGCCTAGAAACAAATTTTGTTTACATTATATTCTAATGAATTTCCCAATAAGCTTTATATGCATTTGTCTTTATTTTGCTTAATATTATTGACAAGTAATGATATGATTAATATTTATAGGAATTGGAATATTTCGTTTTATTCTCTACAGAGAATATTGAATAACTTGATTATAATATGAAGGAAATAATCCTTGCAAGAAAAATATTAGAATATTTCGTATTTCTAATTCTCATCTTTGTATCTTATTTGTTTCTTAGCAAGAATAATCGATCAATGATTTATCGCTAATAATAAATGTGAAATTATTTGAAAATTACTTATCATATCAGGCATAATTGAAATAAGTGAATCAATTTAATAATATTAAATTATTATATTTATCATAATCACTGATCTGACTATTAAATAACTCCCGCTTAATAAAATATTATTTTTAATACGTTGCTCATGTACGTCGAACACGTCGTATATTTACAACGATTTTATCCGATACAAGTATTTTACTTTGCGTGATGTAAGGCGTTTGCGATTTGAGTCGATCGACGGCAACATCACCCGACTAAAATACTTTTTTAGTAAACAATCTTGTTTTTCATTTTTCCGCTATCGCTTTTTATTGCGACGTGTAATTTAAATGTTTATGGCGATCCCTAAAACTGCAATCTCTCGCAGAAAAATACTTGGCCGCGATATGATCGGTGAAATGTATGAAAGAAATGCAAATCGCACGATGATGATGATGATGATGAGCCTCGAATATTTCAGGATTGCTAAAAATACTCGCGTTTACATCCCGAGAAATGGGACATGCAACATGCACGAAGAAGACATGCTCGTTGAGCGCGGAATCTATCGCTCGTAATCGGCGCGTTTAAACTGCGGCGATAAATACGAGTTTTAAATTTTTTGATTGATGCAATTCATGAGAATCGAGGAAGCCCTAGCTCGATTCTCTTTTCAAAGCGGCATTTTATTTTGCCTCCTTCCTAATCCCTGGTGGCGCCTAACGCACGGAACGTCTCAAATTTCGTGGCGCATTAGATGTGACAGAGAGGTGTCAAAAATATGAGTCGGCAAAAGTTAATCCGAATTCGCTCCGAATACTCAAAATCTAACAAGTCTCTTCGATGCCGCGTCGTATATGACGAACTACTTGCGAGACGTAATACAAGACGTAACACTAGCGTTTCGGTAAACTTATAATCAATGAATATTAATAGCCACGTGATTTTACACGTGAGCAGGCAATAAATCGCGGGGAATATATGAATGCGCAAACGAAAGGAAAACGCGGTGAAAAAAACTGTGACTCCTGGTATTAAACGCAATTTAACATAATCAAACGTAAGACTGTAAGCAGTCGTAATTTACGATAATACATGATAGCACAATTTATTTCTGATATACCTAACATAGTATTATATTTGTCAATACATTGTAATTTTATGGGATTATATACATGTTGTAATAATTTGTTCTTTCAATCGTGGATTTTTCCTTAAAATTTAGTGTTTCTAAGACTCGTGTCCTTTTCAATTGCTTAACCGTGCAAATTGCGCTTGTCAAATTGCTACCTAACAATACGACGTGCGGGCATAATTAGTGATTGTTAATGCATAATGCATGCTGACATTAATGCCGCTGATAACGATATTAATCCGCATTTCAGGAGACACATTATTCACCGAGACAATAATGACATACAGACAGACGTGCCGCCTTCCTTCCGTCGTCCTCTTCCTCGGGTTCTTGGCATGACGGAAATGCGCCGGGCAATAAGTGTCGGTCGAGATCATGGCTAAAGACCCGAATCGACGTGTTATGACGATCTTTAACGATTTTCTATTGATTCCTCGCTCGGGGATCGCGCGCATCTGCGATGTTCCGAAGCGACATGTGAGAGATTATTACGGCACACCGACAGCCGTCATTTCTTCCGTTCTGCTCGAGAATTCTCCGGCGCGTGACACACCTTCATAACGTCAATAATAATAACGGCTTGCAATGACGACCGGAAATATTTTGTAATTACCCGCGATATATATTTCTCGCGCCACTCGCCCATCAAACGAGAAACGTCGATGAGCTACGTTTCGCTACGTCATACGTTTAATAATTTTCAAAGCCATTACAATTTGCGAAGACGTTCTCGTCGCATAAATCTGTCAATCCTCTACGGTTAATAGTATCATTACAGATAGACAGCGCAGAAATCTGCTGTCTTACAATAGGGGGGGTTTTATCAATGATAAAGGAACAGATGTCATGTCACATTTGAAATATTGTTTGATTATCTTATCATAGTCGAAGAAGTGTTTGGTGGACTTTGAAGAAAATTTCTATCAGCAAGCGTAAACATTTGTTTCTTAAGAGCAGAATCATCCAATCGAGATTTTCTACGCAATTTTCGTGTCGGAGAATTAAAGAAACGTCGAAATTCATTCGAATGTTAAAATCGAGGGAAGATGTAAAAGCGGGGAAAGATGAAGGGAGACGCGAGCCGTGAGACGATGCGAAATCATTTGGCGCTTAATGCGAGTGCCGCCGTTATTGCCGTTAATCGCTTTTCAGAAGCGCGTTTTCCACGAATGGCACTAATATTAGCCGCGGTCGTTACGAGCTACGTGCTCTAGATGTGCTGTAATTAAATGGCGAGATTTTTTTTCATACCTCAGCACGCGTGCGCGCGCGCGGCAAATGGCGACACGTCGCGTTCGTCTTGCGGACGACGTTTATACTTCCCTCGGGGACGAATATTATTATTATTAGGCATACTCTCGATGCCAGGAAATATTATCCTCTCAAAGGAGGATACCACGAGATTGTCGCGACGATTGATGGCGTACGAGGGGACAAGTGCGCAATTATGCGTCCAGCTTAATGGATAAGTACGTCGTCTGGGTTTTGTATCTCGAAACTCGCTCTGCATTTTTCATTACGCAGATATCGATCGGCATTCATCCGAATTTCAATAAATCGAGTATCAATAAAAAAATATTTTATCGTGCAGTACTTGTCTGTTACATACATAAAGAATTTGCAGCGTTTTTTAACAGGGCGCAGCATACCCGTTCAATTTGACGTCTGGATAGCGCGGATGTTTACTTTATTTGTCAAAGTGACATCCTTGATTTATGAGAGATTGAACAATTACTTCTATTATCGTTTAGATGAATTGCCCTTTGTTATAAAGAGAAACAAAATACTCGTGATACGAGACTTTTTTTTTGTGATTCTTGTATCAATTTTGTGTAATCGTGCAGTAATTTGCTCATTACTTTGATATCGTTGCTCAAAGGTATTAATCAATTTAAGATTTCATAATTTTAATCAAAATTAAATTCGGACCACATGTGTCCATTATTTCTCCTTCTTTGCGCTGCTCTTTCAATATTAAACGAGCTTTCTCATTCTGGTCACGCAAACGTGGAGTAGTGACAAAGCAGCACGACAGAAGAAGCGATAAACGATACGAGGGCCCGACTGTAATAAATTTTTACGTTTCTGGTTATCACACTACCCTCACAAAAATGTGGAGACTCACAGAACTGGTAGACCTGCGCCGTTTTCTACATTTTTTTTAAACACACACGGTTTTTTCTTTACAGACACTTTGGCAGACACGCTCGCTTCTGTCGGCGTCAAAAAATAGCTTTTCTCTTCAAAAACTTTTTTTATTGAAGCTATGAAGCAGACGATGGATGATCACAAGAATGATCTTTAAAAGTACCATTTATCATTCTGATCCTGTCGATACATACAAACAAACGTATACATATATCATCGTGTTCTCTGCACCACTTTCATACATAAAGTTCTAATTTTATGATGATTATTATGTGGAGTCTGTCTCCGGACCAGTGATCTTAATCCTGGCAACACTATGGAATTCGATTCTGCGACAAAGTGGCCCTGTGTTACAAGAAACGAAGGGTTTTACGAGCCTTTCCAAGGGCGCGACGAAAAAAGTGCCGACATCAGCGATGAGTTACATCTTCACCTTACGACCGGCGTGCAAACAGATTACTGCTCTGTCTAGATCCTTGTCCAGTTGATTTTCCTTTTCGATACTCGGATATAATTGGGGATTACAGAAATCAGAAAATATACTGATAACCGAGATAAAGATCGATATATATTTCATGTTTATACACATATAGGCGTATCTAAGGGAGTTCAAACTCCCCTAGAAATTAAAAAAAAGTTAAAGTTAAAATTAAAGTTACGATTTACAAAACCTAATATTTTTCTCATTCAAAATCAGAAATGAGGAGACATTCCAAATTCTAAAATATCCAATTCATTAACGCAAAAAATTGCTACTTATATGTCGACAAAATTGTAATAAATCCCTCTCTTCCTCGAAAAAAATCTGGATACGTGGTATGTGTACACAGGATGCTTCTTCTAATCATCATCATCAGAAAAACGTAATCTCTCGGAGGTCACATTTATTTTAACCGTCGAAATAAATTCGTCTCGCACTTGGACAAATATTTTCGGAATGGAAACGCGTCCAATTCGAAAACCAAAGATAAGGGATGAAAAAAAAGAGGATTTTATATTTTATATTTCTCATACGCATCTAAAAATATCAAAATTGCTTGATAAAGATTCCATATAAAGATACTATGTAAAGCACGTTTTCTTTTGAAAAGGAGAAACGAAAAGAAGAAGAAATATCTTTTCTTAGCGGGAACTTC